CAAAACCAATTTCTCCAAATCAAAAATGGCTTCTGGAAATACAAAGTGAGCTTTAAAAGGAAGGCGCAACAAGCAGAGCGTTCCCATCTGTGACCACTGTACAACTGCACTAAAAAGGGCGGAGCACGCACTCACATTTAGCCCATTTAATCTTACAGTTAGTCATCTCTCAGTCCAAACGTCCACATTTATAAGCAACTCATCATTCCCCAAGCTTATCTCAGCAAAGAGTGGTACAACTTTCAACCCTGAATGCCACAGAGAAGGAGCTGAATACTGAAAAACACGGAGGAGAAGGAAAAAACAGGAGGGCAGAAATTAAGGAATTCATGTGGTGTTCGCAAAGGTCCAGAACAGACGGATCTAAAAAAGTTGATTAAAAAACAAACGCAACGCCGATACAAAAAAACCCTCTGAGTGATTCACATTAACACTTTAGTGACACATGGCTTAGCAATGCTCCATCACAAGGTCGCAACAGGACAAGAACAGCCCATATAGATGAGTATCAGCTATAATGAGTTTACTTGTTAAACCCTCAGTGAGAAAAATGCCCTCATTTACACGAGGATTGAAGAGGAGTTTACTTGTGACTATAAACACCAGAGCAACTTTCACTACTTATCACACACAGTACAGTGCTCTGATGGGCTGTTATCACAAGACCATAACAATGCAGGATCAACACCGTCACACCCACTGTGCACATGCTTCTGTAAAGACAGCGGCACCATTACCATGGTATTAAGCGAGCTACTGGAATGTTCCTTTGACTGGATGTGCTTTAAATCTGTTCTAAGTTTATCAGCGACTGTTGTGGCACAGATTAGGAATAATATGTTTTTTTCGTTTTATGTGTATTAATGCTATTGTAAAAATATCGATTGAACTGAGAACTATTATTATCTAATTTTAGATACGCCTGTAGATGTGGTCAAGCTGAGCTGCTGAAGTTCAAACCCAGAATCAGAACAGAGAAGAAAGGTGGTTTAAGTGACTTTGAACGTGGCATTGTTGTTGGTGCCAGATGGGCTGGTCTGAGTAGTTCTGAAAATGCTGATGAGCCATCTCTAATGTTTACAGAGAATGGTCTGAAAGAGTAAATATACAGTGAGCTGCAGTTCTCTGAGAGAAAAAGCCCTGCTGATGGCCAGAGTGCCGATTGCTGACAGGAAGGCAACAGTAACTCAAATAACCACTCGTTACAACGATGGTATGCAGAAGAGCATCTCTGAATTAATACAACGTGGAACCTTGAAGCAGATGAGCTGCTGCAGCAGAAGACCATGCCGAGTGCAACTCATGCCGGCTAAGAACAGGAAACTGGCTGCAGATTGGAATAACGTTGCCTGCTGCAGCATTTGGATGGTAGGGTCAGAATATGGCATAAAGATGATAAAAGCATGGATCCATCCTGCCTTCTTTCAATGGTTCAGGATGATGGAGGTGGTGGTGTTATGGTGTGGTGATATTTTCTTTACACACTTTGAGGCTACGGCCTTCCTGCGTATTGTTGCTGACCACGTGCACACCTTTATGACTGCAGTCAATTTGATTTATTTAAAACATTTGATTAGATGTAAAGTCAATGTGTTTACTATATAAACATAAAAAACTATGTAGGTCTACAGGCAACAAAAAGTACAAAATGTTACAAAGAATTCCCCCAACCATAAAACTACAGCCTGCATCGATGCCAGTGGCCCATCTACTTAATAAATTCTATGTTGTTCTATGTGCAATCCACCAGTTGCTGATGGGCGAGCCAACATAAGACAGAGGAAGGGCATTAGTGTAATGGCAAATGTGTTATTTTTGTACATTTGTGATAGTTTTTTTTACTTAACAGAAAAGTGTCAAAGTGTCAAAGTGACACTGACAACGACGCTCTCTTTTCATGTTTGACGTAACACAGTTTAGGAAGCTTTTATGGTAACAACATGTTTACTGTTTCACTCCACACACGAATTACGCAAAGAGAGGCGTGTCCGTAAAGACAAATTACATGAAAATTACACGTTTTTGTTTTTTTGCTTCATTTATCTAGGGCCTGTTGTCATTCATTATCTGATCATTTTCCAATTCAAACTTTTCTATTAGCTCAACTTCTTTACTCCTCTCAGGTCACCCTGCCCCACCTTTTCAAGCTGAAGAAGTGCTGTTGCATAACCTCTGATGACACCTTGCATAAACATGTAATTTTCCCCCTCTTAAGAAGTAAACTTAGGAAACTTGCTGTCTGACATCACATCATGAAAACGAGTTCTAAAGCTCGCTGCACTCTCACCAAACCACAGTACTGTTCTTTCTACACATTATTGTATTGAGCAACGGCTTCCTCTTTAAGCAACGCTGGACCACAGATGACGAGATCAGTTCTTGATATCTGCTGAGCCTTCTTACAATTAACAGTCACTTTATTTGTTGCCCTAGTGAATACAAGTATCTGCACCTGGCATGGCCACACTTGGTTGTCAGGCTTCTTCAAATTAGATTTTACAGTGTTTGCCTGCCCAGTGCCAAGACAATAAAAAAATGAGCAAATAGTTATGCTTAATTTATCCTACCCCGGTTGTGTCCTTTACTAAATTCCCAACTGCATGATGCTCAGCGTGGATGACACTGTGCATCCGCCAAATGCTGATTGGTCAACTAGTCGGCCAGAGCAGCGGCGGATTTCACCGGGAACGGGAGAACATTTTTTAGAAGTAGGCTGCAAACAAACTCACTTGCAGATGACTTTATCATGTGTCCTGCCATTGCACCTCAAGGGCTGTTCAAACAGACCTGTATTATAAATGCTCCCAAAAGCCTGACGTCTCATTTTAGCATTCAACACATATTCAATACACTAAACTAATGCTTTTGCGTTTTTTCATCCTGCTTAGCCCCATTGATTCAGCACTTTTGTGGACGCACAGAAACAACGCTGATATCGATTCTCTCATCTGAATGTGTGAAACTGCAAACAACTAACAGCGAGCAGCACTTGAGTTTCCTGCAGGCCAGTCGGGTTTCTCTCAGCCTCCTGAGAATTAAAACATCCTTGTGTTATATGTTTACCTGTATAGCATTACAGCAGTGACGGAGAAGCCCTAACTCCCTGTCACGTCTCTGGTGAAACTTTTGCAAAAAGGTGATATTGAATGTTTTGTCTCTAGTGGAATCTCAACAGGGAAAGGCTTGTGTTACAAATTCATAAAAGACGTGGCCTGAATATGAATATCGCCCTATAGACACCCAAAAGAGATCATATCTGAATTCTGAGCAACTTAGGCCACAGGCTGCTCACAGTGCTTAGTAGCTGTACGTACTCTTACACGGTGGTTTTGAACTGAGGATTTATGTGAACCTAGCTTTCTGCTGTCTCATGTGCAATCTTCAGAGTGACCTCTGCCTCCTGCACTCAATCAAGTCCTCTGATACACTGCATTGGAAGGAATCTGATTAAAAATTGGCAACTCGCTGTGTGGATTCTAAAAGCCAGATCTGTACATTTGCATGCAGCCATGCTCTCTGCTTTTCTAAGTGCATTACATTCCTATTAAAAACATTCTGTGGCCCAGCTGCTCCTTTACAAAAGACACTTTCACTCTGAATGGCCCGTTTTTGGGAGGTAATGTAATTTAGATTCTCCTCTGAGGTTGATACGTTTCTGGCTGGGGAAAGAAAATTACAAAAAGCAGAGAAACGGAACATTTTATAGTCTAACTGAAATCTATCTATCGCTCAATATAGGCCGGTCTACAGAATGAGGAGGTTAAAGACCACAAAACCTTTGTGGCAGAGCATTCCCAGTCTTTATTGTTTCACTTCCTGTCTTCTAAACTGCCAAATAAAGTGGAAAGAAATTCTGAAAACGACTTTATAAAACACACTAACTCTGTTCTTTTTGCAGCCGATATGAATTGTATTCTTTTTGCTGAAACATGGGTTGCTGTAAGGATTTCGCTTACTGAAGCTCCACTTTTATATACGGTCCAGTCTAAAAATAAAACTCATCTTAGTCATTCTGGCTTGTAGGAGTGAGTCACTGCATCCTGCCCCTCTGACAGCTTCCTTTTTTTTCCAATCCAACAAACTCTATCTCAGCATCCATCTATGGAGGCTCTGATTGCACCGAGCGAAACAGAAAAAAACAAAACAGTGTGCACTGTTCTCCCTGCACACTCACAGATTTGAGGCACCTTAATTGAGATCTGCCTGCCTGCAGCTGAGCTGACCAAAGCAATTTCATGCAGCGGGTGATAAAAGATGTGGGCTGAACTGGTGCCTTAATAAAACTGTGAGTAAAAGCTTCACTACAAAAAATAAATAAATAAATAAAATCTCAAGATGATGCTGTGATGGAGCGTGGGTTTTCACTTTCTGCAGCATTTCCCTGCTGCACTATTTCCTGACTGTGGGCTGGACACGTTTGTTGATGGGTGACGTATAGCTGCATGGTAGTGCAGCTATACGTCCAATACCAAGTAAATACAGGGCCAGTATTGCCAATACCGATACCAATACTTTTACTCTATCATGGCAGGTTTTGTATGGGTGAGCAGTGTCTCGTGACTTATGGGACGAATCATTGTCCATTTGCAAATTATGAACACATTTTAATGATCACTAAATCAATGTGATTTTTACTTTCCACAATAAATACCAAAACAGCTTTTCATATATTTTGAAACAGTTTTTAATAGCCTGAAATTTTAATCTACCTCTCCTTAAAGCACTTAATAAATCAATAAATCTGAAGCTAGTAGCACAGTATAGATCCTATCACTAGTATCGATCAGACACTTTTGTATCGATAGCCTCGATCTTTGGATCGATCCTCCCAGATCTTCTGTACAGGCTCCGCAGGCATAGAGACGACAGGAAAACGAAAAAAAGTTTTTGAGAAGCGCTCAAAATAGAGACAAAAACAGCGTCTTGTGCTTCAACAGGAAGCCACGGCACACTTTACACTGTGACGCCCACGAGGGACTCAGAGTACAGCGTTTATTTACCTGGTGTAGAAATGTAACCGGGCGAGCGGGTCTGAGACCGCAGCGTAGGGTCTGAACACTTCCCACGAGTCCCGTCGCAACTTTGCACACCGCCCGCACCGAAGCCATCGTCAGCCGGTAACCGTTTTTAGCCGCCTCGCTGGGGCATGCCGGGAGGAGAGAGGTCCAGGACGAGTACCTCAGAGCTCCGTGTTTCACTTTAAAACGGGCTGCTGTCTGTGCGTATAGCAACAGACAGGAGGATCGCTACGGGACCCGGAGGAGGAGGAGGAGGAAGAGAGCAGGCTGAGCTGCATACCATTTCCTCCTGACTACACCCGCGCGCTCTCTGCCAGACTCCGCTTCCTTTGTCCCCCACCCCTCCTCTTTCTTTCTGTTGGGTCTGTTTTGCGTGAAACAGCAAGTGGGAAGCATATGCGCCTGCCAGGCTCACGGGACTGTAAGCCGACATCCCAAACATCACCCCCTCTCCTCTCACGAATCATCACGAGTTGGTCTGATCGCTAAAATAACAAATTTATATGAGGCTTATTAGGGCTGGAGCCGTTGTAACGTTACACTTTGAAGTCTTCATAACTTCAAAGGGTGAACTAGGCCAAGAGCTCCACTTTAAGCATGCCACCCACAAATCGATTTCCTCTGATCCCACATTTAAATAGGCCCTTAGAGATAAAGCGAACTTTCTAATCACGGTGTTACGTATGAGCAAGGACTGCATTTCAGCTGTCAGCCAACAGGGGGAGCACTTACACACAAATATGTGTCACTGACATGACATAAAGGTCAATGATGCGCAATTCTTTGTTCTTTCAAATACAAAGATGGATAATGTCAGAAGTTTCAATCTATGAGGTCAGCATTTGTGTGCAAAATCCATGTAAGCCAAAGATTCCGGCCTCAGTCTGCTGAAGCATTTAAAGACAGCTCTTTAAATGTTTGGCTCTGTATGCGAGCTTCTTTCTGCCACTGTGGGGGGAAAAGCTATCTTTAAGTCAAAGTGTATGCTTATTATTTTATTAATTTACATGTAATAAGTCCAAAATGTTTACTTGTACAGAAATGAGAATCAACTAGTCAAAATGTTGCGACAATAACTTCAAATTGATTGCCCTGGGCAAACAATTTGAGTCTGTGTCTGTGAGTGTAGATATCCCTGATATGGACAGGGTTTGATATGGATCTATTAGGTATGATGTGATATGAACTTATGCAAAGAAGCTCCAGTAAAGTTAATAAATCAATAAAAATAATAGATTGAGTGTTGTGCAGAGAGGTATCCTGCTGTCCAGTGAGGTTGGGCTCATAGACCATAATCTACTGCAGTGCAAGCAGTAGGAAGCTGTGCACACAATGAAAAATGTTCACACTGCGTTCTGTGTATCATCCCCAGAGCGAAGTATGTGCTACGGCTGGTGTATTGTGTCACAGAAAATGCGAGCATAACCGAGACAAATGGTGTTGAAAGCAGACAGGTCAGATAAATCTGTCATGAACACTCCCATCCGGTGATTTATAATACTCCAGTCAGCCACAATATTAAAAGTACTGACAGGTGAGGCGGCAATGTAAAGTTTTTTTGAGAAACCTTGGGCCCTGGCATTCGTGGTGGATAATTCTGCAGCATTCCACCACAATGCGCGACTGTTTAGAGAACAGGTCCAGAGACCCTGAGGCGAAACACAATGGATGAAACAGCCTTCGAGCTCTCAGATCTGGAACAGGCCCCACCAACAGACACCTCACACTGCAGCCCACAGGAACTGGCAACATCCCAGTGCTACACACTTCAGCACAGCCCTGTAGGTCTCGCTTTCCATGCCTTGAAGAATCTGAACTTTTTTTCGGGGGTGGAATACACTAAGTTAGGGAAAAGCTGTAATAAATGCTGAAGGTAATGGAACAATGGAACATTACTGTCATTAATCACTACTGAGTTTAAAATATTTACCTCCACTGTGTATGCATTTCATTTTTCTAAAGTACCCCACACACTGGACCAAATGCCAGTCTGGAAAAATGCACTTATATTAGCCTGTTCATTAATATTTAAGTATACCATAGTTAAGGCAAACACTTGATCAGCACAGTGTGAGCTGTCTTTTTAACCTGCTGGCCTTGAAGCGTGACAACAGTGACTTTCTTTGAGCACACAGTTGAAAATTATGTTCTGCACATTGTGGCGTCTTCTTCTCTACTAGATTTATGTGGCATTTTATCAAACAGCAACACAAAGGACCCTCTTCTATACTAAGAGGGGGGGTGATTCCTAAAAGCCACTCTTCATTTGTCAGAGATTCTTTCTTCATGCAATCTGCTTTAGTCCACAGTGGTGAGTCTTTAAAGACTGGTGAGAGGCATCAATACTCCCAGAGAGAAGATGCATGACGGAAAGGCTAGATGAAATCGATATGCTCCTGTGGCCACTGAGGCTGTTTTACTGACAGATTACTTTGATTTAAATGTGCATTTGTCCAAGATTTTGCAGACAAACTGCAAGGAATTGTTGCCTTATTAGCACACACAGTGAAATTGAATGCTGTTTACGGTGAAGTTTTCTGCTTAGTTGTTGTTGTTCTTCTGGTCATCTGTTACCTGTCACCTGCTGCTAGATTTATGCTCTCGTTTTGGCCACATGCTGGTGGATTAAGACTGCAGCAGGGCTCTCTCGCTGAATGAAGTTATTCAGGGGAAATGAGCCAGGTTTCATTTTCTAATGAGTTGGCAAATGTGCTTCGGGCCGTTGAAAGAAGCTTCACTTTAATAACAAAATCTGCTTGCACGGAGAATTATGTAGTAGTTAATTATTTAATAGCGAGGTGATGCATGGAGTGATTCCATATCTGTGATGACAAAACGTTGAAAGTCCAAGTGATCACCGAGCGGGAATTAACACATTGTAATTTATGACTTTCATTTTATCTTCATTTAATGTTTGAATGCCCTTCTAAACTACGAGCTGTTGTCTCCTTAAAGCATTTTTCCACTATGAAGAATGATGAAAGAAGAGTGAAGATATTTTAACAGCAAGGCTATAAACTGGAGAGATTATATCTCTCGGCTGGCCTGGGAACACCTTGGTGTTCCCCCAGACTAGCTGGAGGGGGTGGCTGGGGAGAGGGAGGTCTGGGCTTCTCTGCTTGGGCTGGTGCCCCCGCAACACGGCCCTGGATAGGTGGAATATCAGGACTGGTGTACTCCTCAGAAGGTTTGTATCTTATGGATACTTGGCACCATCTTGTGGGCGCTAAAAGGAACATAATTTCTGCAAAATGAGACTGTCTTTGTGACTGTAAGATAGTCTGTTGACATCACTTTCACACATTGTGTGCATTCTGAGCTTGTGACAGATTCAGAGTTTAAACAATGACTCCAAAACGAGTCCAAAATAAACAGTTGTGTCAGTTTAAGTATTTTAATATCTGTAAAAAAATGTACAGGATGTGGATGGGGAGGCTTTTGCATGCCTCTCTTTTATACTTTAGCTGAAGTGTGTGCATCACTCGTGTAATTCCTGCAACATTTGACATTTATGAAACGTGTGACTCCCCATAAACAGTGTGGCGGTGGTCTGATGATTTAGGAGCAAAGTGTGTGACAGTCAGTGCTCCTTTGTGTTTCTCGCTCTTGAAGTTTTTTTTGCAGCTTTGCTGAGATCAAGTTTCCACCGAGGATTTTAAAGTGCTGTGCACTGCCCCCTTAACCTTTAGTGAAGCTGCAATTTAACACCAAGGAAATCGTTCTTAGCTTAGAGTAACTCCTATATTATATAACATACTATAAGAATAGTATGTTTCCCATCCTCACAGTCAGCACTGATATGGTGGGAAGCTTGTTTCTAAAAGATGAAGTGAATGTTTCCAAGCTGTTTTCTTAAAATGTTATTATCATTATTATTATTATTATTAGTAGTAGTAGTACACTCAATTATGTTATCATTATTATTATCAAGGTAGTCGTGTGAATATGACTATTTTCATCAGCTACCTAAAACATCTGTTCTGATGATCATTAAAAATAATGACTCAAAAGTAATATATCAACAACATATTCAACAATCTCTTGTACCAGATTATCAAAATAAGCTACAGTTGTCCTTTGACAACCGTTTCAAACATTAGCCCTCCAGTTACTAGAGCCTAAACTAGTATCTGGCAGTTTGTAGTCACATTATGTGACATTATGTGTTGTGCCTTTAAAACCTAAAATAAAAAGTTTGGTTTCCTGAATAAAAATAGTGGGGTCCTCTCTGAGGCTCCACTATTTTGTGGAAAGAGTCCTATGAATAAATGGAAAAAGGACTGAGCCATTTGTTAAACACAGCAGCTGAGTGGAGTTTTCAGCTCCAGCTGCTGTTAAAACTGAAGAACTACAGATGAAGCATCGGACAACGCACCATGTTCCTGGGTCTATGTGCTTTGGTCTGTTTGCTTTAACAACAACAAACGTGGATGTTCTTTGTGTGATTTACTAACAGT